TCGGCGTACGATGTATTACCGTCCGGTATTAACATGGTTAAGTGGTCTGCGGCTAACGATCCGATTTGCCCGCTGTGCAAAGCGAAGCAGACTCTTGAGCACGTCCTGTCCGCGTGCAGGAAAGCCCTAGGCCAAGGCCGATATACCTGGCGACACAACAAGGTGCTAAAAGAGTTAGCAGCCGTTGTTGACCAGGCTAGGATGAGGGCTAACGCCAGAGCCAGTTCTACCATCGTCCCCATTCGTTTCCTCAAGGCTAGGCAGATTAAAAAAAGTAAGGTCAACCGAGACGCATTCGCTCCATCTGTGCTAGACTGCGAGGGACTGGTTACTGGCGGTTGATCTGCCGGGTCATGAAAGGTACCCTGAGTTAATCCTGAAGACCGGTCTGCGACCTGACATAGTTCTCCACTCTGCGGAGAAACGGCAGCTCATCCTGATTGAGCTGACCGTCCCGTATGAGTCGCGTTTGGACGAAAATCACATGTACAAGCTCGAGAAATACAGTGATTTAGCAGACGGTCTGAGGAGAGACGAGGCGTACGCAGTACGTGTCTTTGCCGTCGAAGTGGGAGCGAGAGGTCTCTTCTCCACTTCACTGTACAATATGATTAAAGAACTAGGATTGCGCGGTAATGAACGGAAACAAACACTCAAACAGCTGGGCGAGGTAGCCGAGAGGGCCTCGAGCTGGCTTTAAACGCAACGAAACAACGTAGGGGACGGGCCTCGGTGAGCTGGTCCGGGTGTCTAGCGGAAAAGAGTTTTTCATCCCTTGAAAGTCCATCGTGTCGGAATAGTCTGCCAGTGATCCTCTGCCACCTGCTAACAAAGTCCAACATGTGTCCGGTAAACTTGTCGCTCGGTCGTCCAGGTATGCTGACTGCTCTAATTAGGTTACCGTGGCGACTTCTTATCTCACAGTACCTTATGCAAATCACCAAGTCGTCTTGTCCCTATCCGAAAGAAAAACACGATCCGGTAATTTCGTGCAGCAGGGTACCAGCCTTGAGCTTCATGAACTCAGGTGGGCACACCTCTGAAAATGTCTAGGAGATTCGTGGGCCGAAACGTTTGTCGACGAGGGATAACTTCTACTGATGACTAATAGATCCCCGCTGTACATACTCCCATGTGGAGTTATTCCTATTGCACGCCTCACTAGGCTCTCATATTTAATAAATCTTACTGGTTGACCTAAATTGCAGCAGAGGAATTGGGTAACTTAGACACCGATTATGTGGATATGAATTAAACAATCTAATACCATCACGGCGAGGATAATTATCCAGTAGTTGACGTCATTCGACGTTATGGCCACAAACTATATAAAGATTGAAGAGCATAAGGACAGACATACAGTATACTAGTTTGGCAAGACATAAACCTTTGGTGGAGTGTAAGTGCCCGGTTGGTATGGATGGTGCTGGGCCGACAAGCTCCTGGACACGCCCCAACCCCCGTCAAGGTCACACCAGGGAGCCCACTGGATGAGCCTCTGACCTCTGACAGTGTTTGGACTAACGTAGATATGGAAGAGCAGACTCCAACACTTTCTTCAACGAAGTCTGACATGTCGACCTGTTTTGTATTGGAACATAGTAAAAGCAACGGACATCACCGCAGACTATAGGGAATAAGTTTGCTTAGACACCCACATCGTTGCTGCGCTGTTTCTGTGCACTGCTGCAAGGCGGATTCCGAGGGTCCAAGGGATGCGCTCCATTCTACAGACAGCAGCACTACAGATTACAGTACCAGGAATAAGGCAAACACACTAAAGACAATACTGTGGAATGCAGAAGGAGTCATGAGGGAAAAGTTCGGCCTGAAAATGTTTAACACAAATGCCCGAGCACATTCTACAGGGCTTCTAACTATGTTTACATCTAAAAAAAGAAACCTTGCCTCACGAGCAAAGTGTGCACAGCAAACTATTGGGAGGTGGAGGTGAGTGCTGGGTGGATGATGTAGAGGAGGGTTTGGAATACATTCAACAATGAAAACAAAATAAGGCAGGGGGTTTAGTCAGGTCGCAGCTGGTTCTTTTTAAATGTCCACTCTTTGTTGCTTCCTGAAGAAGGAGAAGGAGAACGTGTGGTATTGTCCTGAGTGCAGTCAATTTTAATTCTTATTTAATTCATTTGTTTATTCATTCATCCATTCATTCATTCGTTCATTCATTTATTCATTCATGTTTTATGCCACACTCAGGCTGGCCTTCAGTCAAATGGGCGAGTTTGTGAGAGTAGGACGATGATTGCTTCGACAGTGTTGATGATTATGATGTTCTTTTCCGCATGGGTCTCACTTGTAGACTGGGTCTCACTTGTAGACTGGGTCTCACTTGTAGCATGGGTCTCACTTGTAGCATCGGTCTCACTTGTAGCATAGGTCTCACGTGTAGCATGGGTCTCACTTGTAGCATGGGTCTCACTTGTAGCATGGGTCTCACTTATAGCATGGGTCTCACTTATAGCATGGGTCTCACTTGTGGCATGGGTCTCACATATGCATGGGTCTCACTTGTAGCATGGGTCTCACTTTTAGCATGGGTCTCACTTGTAGCATAGGTCTCACTTGTAGCATGGGTCTTACTTGTAGCATGGGTCTCACTTGTAGCATGGGTCTCACTTGTAGCATGGGTCTCACTTGTGGCATGGGTCTCACTTGTGGCATGGGTCTCACAAATGCATGGGTCTCACTTGTTGCATGGGTCTCACTTGTAGCATGGGTCACACTTGTAGCATGGGTCTCACTTGTAGCATGGGTCTAACTTGTCTCATGGGTCTCACTTGTAGCATGGGTCTCACTTGTCTCATGGGTCTCACTTGTAGCATAGGTCTCACTTGTAGCATGGGTCTCACTTGTGGCATGGGTCTCAATTGTAGCATGTGTCTCACTTGTAGCATGGGTCTCACTTGTAGCATGGGTCTCACTTGTAGCATGGGTCTTACTTATAGCATGGGTCTCACTTGTAGCATAGGTCTCACTTGTGGCACGGGTCTCACTTGTAGCATAGGTCTCACATATGCATAGGTCTCACTTGTAGCATGGGTCTCACTTGTAGCATCGGTCTCACTTGTAGCATGGGTCTCACATATGCATGGGTCTCACTTATAGCATGGGTCTCACTTGTAGCATGTGTCTCACTTGTAGCATGGGTCTCACTTGTAGCATCGGTCTCACTTGTAGCATGGGTCTCACATATGCATGGGTCTCACTTATAGCATGGGTCTCACTTATAGCATGGGTCTCACTTGTAGCATGTGTCTCACTTGTAGCATGGGTCTCACTTGTAGCATGTGTCTGATTTGTTGCATGGGTCTCACTTGTGGCATGGGTCTCAATTGTAGCATGGGTCTCACGTGGGCCATAGGTCTTACCAGTGCTGTATGAAACACAGGTCTTAAAGACTATTCCCTTCTGAAGACGCCTGTCAAGCCTATGATTGTATGTTAACCACATCAAAGTGGTCGAGCATTGTGCCTTCCATTCTGATGATCTTAGAAACCTTTCAAGGACTGTCCTCTTCGTCCATTTTTTACACGTTTACTCTTCAAAGGTGCCGTTTCAGCGAAACGGAAAAGGCAGAAGCAAACTAAAGCAAAGGTAGATGGAGTATTTTGCAGTTATATTAGATATGAAAGCACATAGGGTTAAACGACAGGCGAGAGATAGAGATAATTTCAGGCGTGCGGTGACAAGAATGATGATGAGCCCATGAGACTACCGTCCCTGGACATTCAGAAAGGTAGGCCCCCGCCTCTGGACATTCAGAAGGGTATGCCCCGGCCCCTCGACATTCAGAAGGGTAGGCCCCGCCTCTGGACATTCAGAAGGGTATGCCCCGCCCCTCGACATTCAGAAGGGTAGGCCTCCGCCCCTGGACATTCAGAAAGGTAGGCCCCCGCTTCTGGACATTCAGAAGTGTAGGCCCCGCCTCTGGACACTCAGAAGGATATGCTCCCGCCCCTCGACATTCAGAAGGGTAGGCCTGCGCCTCTGGACATTCAGAAAGGTAGGCCCCCGCCTCTGGACATTCAGAAGGGTAGACCCCCGCCCCTAGACATTCAGAAGGGTAGGCCCGCGCCTCTAGACATTCACAAGGGTAGGCCTCCGCCCCTGGACATTTAGAAAAAAAAAGGGGGGGGGGGGGGGCCATCCCTTGGACATTCAGAAAAGTCGGCCTCTGCCCCTCGACAGTCAGAAGGGTGGGGGTGGGGGGGGGGAGGGCATCCCTTGGACATTCAGAAGAGTAGGCCTCCGCTCCTGGACATTCAGAAGGGTAGGCCTCCGCCCCTCGACATTCAGAAGGGTAGGCCACCGTCCCTTCCTAAAAATATGAATTTGTTTAGGTTTTTTTTTTCCAGTCTCAAAGCGCCTGCCACACGGGACCCTCCTGTGCGATGCCACAAGACAAGAGAAACGAGACACAACGTTGTTTTGGCACACGATTTATTTAAATCCTCTTCAAGGTGTTGGTTAGCAACAATTGTCAATTGTTTCTGCTTCTGCTAGTTTCGCAGTGTGACTTTCTACTTGTGGTTAAATGCTGCACCGTACTTTGTTGCCTAGTGACAAAACACTCCGGAGTTGCCAGAAAAGAAATGTTTTTCCTTTATCTGTGAGTGTTTGTCCATTGATGAACATCATTTTAAAACAAGATTGACCGCATTGACTTGTGTTTACGTTACAACTTGTAATGTGTTTGTCCGTTGTAGGTTGAAGATCATCTTCATATGAACGATGAACAAAGGTGTTTAGATCGTGGCTGTTATTAATCTGAAATAATAATCTGTGCTGCAATGATCTGAAATATTTTGATCTCTTTAGTTTAACCTCCAGGTTTTTACTGATGTCTACACGTGAGATGGAGTTGTTCCGTCTGTCTAGTTTAGTCTCCAGGTTTTAATGTGTACAATTGAGTATGTATTGTTCTATCTATTGAGTTCAGCCTGTAGGTTGTTACTGATGTCTACACGTGAGATGGAGTTGTTCTATCTGTCTAGTTTAGTCTTCAACAGTACGAACTCATGCACGGAAGAGATCGGAAGAGCATCGACGTAAAGTTTGTAGTACGGGAGTGTAGAGATGCGTTCACGGGCGCACAGGTCTTTGTTCCTGTAGCAGTCGACTGAACCGAAGGCAAGTTTGGGTTTGTTGATTTTCTGCCAATAGAAAATACACGACATGTCAGTCTCACATGGCCAACGCTTTTTGTCTGTCTGTCTGTCTGTCTGTCTGTCTGTCTGTCTGTCTGTCTGTCTGTCTGTCTGTCTGTCTGTCTGTCTGTCTGTCTGTCTGTCTGTCTGTCTGTCTGTCTGTCTGTCTGTCTGTCTGTCTGTCTGTCTGTCTGTCTGTCTGTCTGTCTGTCTGTCTGTCTGTCTGTCTGTCTGTCTGTCTGTCTGTCTGTCTGTCTGTCTGTCTGTCTGTCTGTCTGTCTGTCTGTCTGTCTGTCTTTCTGTTTTTCTGTCTTTCTGTCTTTCTTTTTTCTTTCTTTCTTTCTTTCTTTCTTTCTTTCTTTCTTTCTTTCTTTCTTTCTTTTTTTCTTTCTTTCTTTCTTTCTTTCTTTCTTTCTTTCTTTCTTTCTTTCTTTCTTCTTCCGTTTCACACATCTGGCTTACATGTATGCAGACTATAAATTCTTGCCTCATAGGCAGATTTGCTTCCATCGTTATAATTATTGAGAAACAGGAACAGACAGGGTTTGATCATCAGTGCCCCTTGTTAAACGTTTTGAGAAACAAGAACTGAAAAGGTTTGATCATCAGTGCCCCTTGTTAAACGTTTTGAGAAACAAGAACTGAAAAGGTTTGATCATCAGTGCCCCTTGTTAAACGTTTTGAGAAACAAGAACTGAAAAGGTTTGATCATCAGTGCCCCTTGTTAAACGTTTTGAGAAACAAGAACTGAAAAGGTTTGATCATCAGTGCCCCTTGTTAAACGTTTTGAGAAACAAGAACTGAAAAGGTTTGATCATCAGTGCCCCTTGTTAAACGTTTTGAGAAACAAGAACTGAAAAGGTTTGATCATCAGTGCCCCTTGTTAAACGTTTTGAGAAACAAGAACTGAAAAGGTTTGATCATCAGTGCCCCTTGTTAAACGTTTTGAGAAACAAGAACTGAAAAGGTTTGATCATCAGTGCCCCTTGTTAAACGTTTTGAGAAACAAGAACTGAAAAGGTTTGATCATCAGTGCCCCTTGTTAAACGTTTTGAGAAACAAGAACTGAAAAGGTTTGGTCATCTCATAAGATTGAACCCCGCGAAGCTGATTGTATACGCGGTCAACGTAAAGGGAGCAAAGAAAGTTTCAGAAGACAATAGACTGAAGCAGACACCGCCAGGTAGGGAATGTGTACCTCAGCATATCAGTCAGCCGAGCTTGTCCTGTTCGACAACCAATCATTCCAGAGGTAGAAAGCAGATATTGACACATAAGGAAGACGTACGAATGCAACAAGCCTCTCGATCACACGGAGTTGAGAAAAGTATGATGTGTCAGGGAAAAACCAACAGTGTCAAAAGAAGAAGTTGCAAAGTAACAAGAGCATTCGTCACACGGAGTTGAGAAAACTATAATGCGTCAGCTAAAATGAACACATTCATATTAGGCATTTTGATAGAGACCGGGTAAGCTGGAGACCTTAAGAGTTATCCGTGCTGTCTCGACCATGTCTGACGGAACATTCACACATGCACAAGGCAGGTACCTTAAGAGCCTCTTTCTCCCACACTTTAAGGGCCTCCCGGGAATTCTCAACGCAGTCGACGAAGATGACCGCAGACATCTCCTGCCTGTTGAGGAAACGGTCAAAATTGACACGTGTGAGGCTCTCCACTTTCGCAGAACTCGGAATTTCTTTAAACTCTGTATTTAACTTATGAGCTTCATACCAATATGGGTTTTGTTCACGTTGACGTGCTTCCTTGTGCGGTGGCGGGACTGCTCCTCTATCATCATCAGTCTCTTGTCTCGAGGGTAGCAATTTTTGGGGACGCACTCTGTGAGACGACGCGACGCCCTGCGCTCTCACAGAACGTGGGGGTTCTCTAAACTCTGTACTTGCCTTAAAAGATTGATACCACCATGGGTTTTGTTCACGACCAGGTGCTCCCCTCTGCGGTTCCGGGGCTGCTCCTCTATCATCTGTCATTTCTAGCGGCGGAGAGGAATGCCCTGTCACGTAAGACTGACGCTGGTCTTGCTCTGTTGCCCGGGACTGCGATAAACTTGCGTATTTGTTGTTGTGATTCCAGCTGTGTATCCACAATGGGCGTTAATATTTGAACACAGAGCCGTTTACAAGTGAGCTGATGGTGGCTGTAGTTGATCGTTGAAGGGGCATCTTTGTGTACGATGCAGCACTTACCCACAAGCAGGCAAGTTTATGTATGGTTACAGCAAATGGTTTAGATCAGAGGTAGATAATCATGATGCAAGCTTGTCCATGCAACTTCAGGGCCAGAGAGATCGTGTGCCGTCTGCAGACATGTTCATTGAGAACGTCACTATGCAATACAACGTCAACTAGTTGGTGCGATCTCTGTGTGGGATTTCCGTGCTGTTGTGTGCAAACGTGACGTCTTTTTCTGATAGCTCTTCAATGTGGCTTTGATCAGGTTATTTGCCACTTCGGTATTCTATATGTCTTGTACTGTAGGCCATCATATCTGTCCCCTGTACTGTGTATCATCATATCAGTCTCCTACACCATTGGTCACCAGGTTTGTCCCTTGCACCGTGTGTCATCATATCTGTCCCTTATGCAATGGGTCAGCATATCTGTATACTATACCATGGGTCATCAGATCTGTACCCTGTATTGTGAGTCACCATATGGGTCCCTTATACAGTGGGTCATCATATCTGTCCTCTATACCATGGGTCATTACATCTGTCCCCTGTACCGTGTGTCACGATATCTGTCCCCTATATTATGGATAATCACAACAGTCCCCTGTACCGTATATTACCATATATGTCCCCTATACAGGTATCATCATATCTGACCACTATACCAGGTATCATCATATCTGTTCACTATACCATGTATCATCATATCTGTTTACTATACCATGGGTCATCATGTCTGTTCACTATACAATGGGTCATCATATCTGTTCACTATACAATGGGTCATCATATCTGTTCACTATACCATGTATCATCATATCTGTTTACTATACCATGGGTCATCATATCTGTTCACTATACAATGGGTCATCATATCTGTTCACTATACCATGTATCATCATATCTGTTCACTATACTATGGGTCATCATATCTGTTCAATATACCATGGGTCATCATATTTGTTTACTATACCATGGGTCAACATATCTGTTCACTATACCATGGGTCATCATATCTGTTTACTATACCATGAGTCATCATATCTGTTCACTATACCATGGGTCAACATATCTGTTCACTATACCATGGGTCATCATATCTGTTTACTATACCATGGGTCAGCATATCTCTTCACTATACCATGGGTTAGCATATCTGTCCACTATACCATGGGTCATCATATCTGTTCACTATACAATGGGTCATCATATCTGTCCACTATACCATGGGTCATCATATCTGTTTACTATACCATGGGTCATCATATCTGTCCACTATACTATGGGTCATCATATCTGTTTACTATACCATGGGTCATCATATCTGTCCACTATACCATGGGTCATCATATTTGTCCACTATACCATGGGTCATCATATCTGTTTACTATACCATGGGTCATCATATCTGTTTACTATACCATGGGTCATCATATCTGTTTACTATACCATGGGTCATCATATCTGTTTACTATACCATGGGTCATCATATCTGTTCACTATACCATGGGTCATCATATCTGTTTACTATACCATGGGTCATCATATCTGTTTACTATACCATGGGTCATCATATCTGTTTACTATACCATGGGTCATCATATCTGTTTACTATACCATGGGTCATCATATCTGTTTACTATACCATGGGTCATCATATCTGTTCACTATACCATGGGTCATCATATCTGTTTACTAATCCATGGGTCATCATATCTGTTTACTATACCATGGGTTAGAATATCTGTCCACTATACCATGGGTCATCATATCTGTCCCCTGTACCGTGTGTCATCTTATCTGTCCCCTGTACAGTGTGTGATCCTATCTGTCCCCTGTACCATATGTCATCCTATCTGTCCCCTGTACCATAGGTCATCCTATCTGTCCCCTGTACCGTGTGTCATCTTATCTGTCCCGTGTACCATGGGTCATCCTATCTGTCCCCTGTACCGTGTGTCATCTTATCTGTCCCGTGTACCATGGGTCGTCCTATCTGTCCCCTGTAGTGTGTTACCACATCAGTCTCTTATACCATAGGTCATCATATATGTCCCCTGTACTGTGTGTGATCCTATCTGTCCCCTGTACCGTGTGTGATCCTATCTGTCCCCTGTACCATATGTCATCCTATCTGTCCCCTGTACCATAGGTCATCCTATCTGTCCCTTGTACCGTGTGTCATCTTATCTGTCCCGTGTACCATGGGTCATCCTATCTGTCCCCTTGTACCGTGTGTGATTCTATCTGTCCCCTGCACCGTGTGTGATTCTATCTGTCCCCTGTACCGTGTGTGATTCTATCTGTCCCCTGCACCGTGTGTGATTCTATCTGTCCCCTGTACCGTGTGTGATCCTATCTGTCCCCTGCACCGTGTGTGATTCTATCTGTCCCCTGCACCGTGTGTGATCCTATCTGTCCCCTGCACCGTGTATGATTCTATCTGTCCCTTGTAGTATGTTATTACAGCAGCCTCCTATCCTTGACGTTTACCTTTTTTTAAGGGGTCACTACACGGCATTTGTTCCAATTTATGACAAAAATATCACATTTTCAATGTTTTCGTTTTTGTAAAGTTCGGCATTCGTAGAATAGATAACACACAACATGTATGTCAGTTGCAGACAATTTAGCTTTGAAAAGTTAATTCTAAAGGCACCAACCCATGCACTTATTTTAGATTTAAAAAAAGTTTTAAAGTCAGTTTTCTCACATCTTTATATTTCTGTTTGTTGTGTATATGAAGTACTAAAATCTCAGCTAATTTAAAGACTAGAAACATTAAATGTAGTATGCATACTCCTTAAACTATATTATAGGGACTGTTTTTTTTTTTTTTTTTTAAACTAGAATTTAGAAAGTTTTTGTTTAAAATTCTACGAAAAATATTTGAAAACATATTTAAAGTAAAATAATCTAAACCTGTACCTCTAAATAGGATCAAAGGTCATGAATCTATGATTTGTTGTTTGATATGTACGACTATTCTTGAAATTTTATGATTCTAAGTACATTTTTTTTTTCTGCAAAATGGTGGCTATTGCCATGACAACCATAATTTTTTAACACTTAATGTATGCAAATGTAATAACATGTATCCCTTCAAATTACCAATATAAAAAAAATTGCTTTAACTCTGTTTAAAAAAAAAAAATTCGCTATAGTTACCCCTTAAATTGCAATTAAGCAATAACCTGTTTTCACGACTCCAATGTTCCTTTTCGCGTCTCCACTGTCCGTTCTCTCGGCTCCAGTGTCCACTCTTTCGTGTCCAGTTTCCCTTTCACGGGTCTAATGTCCCCTTTCATGGCTCCAATGTTCCGTATCGCGGCTGTAATGTCCCCTCTTGCGGCTTCAATGTCCCCTCCCACGGCTTCAATGTTCACTTTCGCAAGTCCAAAGTCACTTCTCGTAGCTCCAATGTCTCATCTTGCGGCTCTAATGTCCCCTCTGGCGGCTCCGTCCCTTCTCGCAGCTCTAATGTCCACTCTTGCATGTCCAATATCCCTTCTCGCAGCTCTAATGTCCCCTCTTGCAGGTCCAATGTTTCTTCTCTCGGCTCCAATATCCACTCTGGCGACTCAAATGTAGCCTCTCGCGACTCTAATGTCCCCTCTAAGGCTCCAATGTCCCCTCTCGAGGCTCTAATGTCCCCTCTCGGGGTTCCAAAGTCTACTCTCGCAGGTCCAATGTCCACTCTAGCAGGTCCAATGACCCCTCTCGTAGCTCCAGTGTCCCTTCTCGAGGCTTCTATTCCCCTCTCGCGGCTCCGTCCCCTCTCGCTATGTTGCCTAAAGAATGTGGGTGTTCTCCTTCTTATACTTATGACTCAGTGATGTCATTTCTTGCAAGCAACAGCACCTGTACAATTCCAATTCCAATGTGATAAACAAAAATTCCAAACTTTGATCTCTTTGAGCCACAAGACGGCCTGCTATATCGAGGACTGGGTCTTTGCTGTCTTATATGAATTTAGTTTTTTTGTTGTGATCAGTTTCGCCTGAGTTTAGTTTTTCTTCCACATGTCTGACGCGATCTGGCTTTGCGGCTCTCGTGTTTGGGAGGGAAGTCTGCCAGTCCTGAGAAGGACTAGCACATTTGCCTGGGCCTACCTGGAACGGGTATCGGTTTGGGTTTCTGCTTTCTGTCCTAGCGCATCTCCGCGATTTCTCCGTTTTCGGTGGGCTAGCATTTCCTCGAAGATGGCGGCCTAGTTTCTGTGCTTGTTTTAATTGCTGGGCTTTTGCTGCGGTCTGTCTTCTGCTGCTTGGCACTGGTGCAGGTCGTTTCGGCTTCGTGGGGGTGGATTTAGGCAGTCCTATAAAAGGACTACCAGTTTTGCCTGGGGCGGCCTGGGACAGGGACGGGTGGGTCTGATGCCGGCGGCTAACTTATTATTGGAAGTTCCCTCGTCTACCTCGCTTGCCTTTGTGTTTGCTGCCATTGGGTTTGTTCTGTTTCCTCGGCGGGTATGTTTTCAATTTCCAGTATTTGATTCCTGTCTCATCATCAATATTTTATACTTTGTAGAGATCTAGTTGGGCCCATGCCACTGATAGATGTACCTGTAGAACCTTGTTCTCTTCCATTTTTTCGTCAAGTTGGCATCTTTCTTCCTGGTGGAATCGAGGAGGGTCGTCAGCTCTTTGACGTTGTGATCAATGCTTTGGGTTTCTGTGCCTTGGTTTGTGCTTTTGATGGGTTCAGTCAGCTGTACCTGATGCTTCATTGCTTTTTCTTCAGTGGCTGTGCATTTATCCGCCTTCTGCATTGATTTGTCTGTGTAGAATCATTTGTCTG